TATTGGAAGCTGACTGGTATTGTTTTATGAGTTGGGATCGGGCGTGGATTTTTAACTCCTGGTCGAGGTCGGCTGCATTATTTTGGTATCGTTCAATTAGGCGCTACTCATCATTTATATGGCCTTCCAGGACTGACTTCTCTTTATGAAGTGCCCTCAGTTCGGTTTCCTTTTGTTGGATGGATCCTTCTATTTGTGCCTTGGCTTTATTCGGGTCTTCTAGTCGGCCAACTGCCTGTTGAATGAATTCCTTGTTTTTGGTCAAGGAGGCCTCTAGACTTATTCGATCCAAGTCAGGAAAAGGTGTCTCAGCCGTCAAAAGTTGAGCAAACAAAACTTCATTTCTGAGTTCGGATAATCGCTATATCAGTTGGTGAAGAATGGGAGTAGCAGCCGACTCTGAAGACATTTGGAACAGGAGACCACCAATGGCTTGAAGAAGGCTGTCAAGCAAGTCTGATCCCAAGTCGGGGAAAGATTGGTCAACAGCCTGTGCAATTATAGCTCGGACATCCGCTGGAATAGGGACAGTCGACAAGAGGGCTAGATCAGAACATCCCTGAAATAAAGATGTTTATCTCAGACTAAATGGAGCTTGGATATTAAAAGTTGATTGTGAAAATTGTTCTTACCTCAGGACGAATGGTGGTCACTGAAGGTGCCAGAATAGCCATGAACTTGGAAGGCTGGTCGGCTGGTGTTTCAATAGCCGACTCGTCGGCTGCTTCCAACTGGCGTTAAGGTTTAGATCTAGGTCCCTGAAAGATGGGAATGAAATGTATGTAATATCATGTGAACATCAGTTTTAATTGAGAATGGAGAGTTTGAGTGTATACCAGGTTGACAGAGGTTTCTGAATCAGAGGAGGGGATTTCTTGTAATTCTTGTAAGAGACCTCTTGGTGGCACGGGTGCAGGTTCGTCTTCCCGCCTGTTTGCCTCTGGAAGGGGGTCCGTTGCCTCTGGGTTGGCTACCTCCAGGTCTGCTACCACCGGGTCGGCTACATCCAGGTCGGCTTCCCTTGGGACGGCTACCTCCAGGTTTGTTGCCACTAGGTCGGCTACCCCCAAGTTGGTTTGGTTTGATGCGCCTAGAGCGGTAGCATCAGAGGCAGCAGAACCAGGCATATGCATGGCTATCGGTGTCATAGTAGGCAGAGATGGGTCTGAAGCGACATAAGGTAACCTACCCATCTCTGAAGCAGTCGCTTCACTAGGAGATGTGACATATGTTGTTGCATGTTCGGCATGTGAAGGCATTTTATTCGGGGCCCGACGCTTGGTCGGGGGCTCAGATTCTGGTAGTGGGTCGGTTGGTGGCTCCGTTGCTTTAGTTAATCTGGAAACAGGTTGGGCGGTTGCTCTAGCTGAAGTCAGACCTGAATATGTAAAATAAGGATGAATGCCATGGTGAGGAAAGGATTGAGTTAAGTTGAGAATATAAGATTATACCTAGACGGGGTCGGGTCTCTATAGTGGCCCGACCCGATGGGCGATCGATAAGGTCGGTTGATTGTCCCCAGAGGGGGGAATAGCTTGAGTCTGAGAAGCTCTTCTTTTCCTCTGTGGAGTGTCCGATCCAGTAACCTGAGTGGTTATCTTCCTTCGGACATTGGTTAGTGGGGCAGTCCCTAATATCAGCGCAGGTTGGGGAACAAGAATGCCCAGTAAGCGATCCTTGTCAGGGGCAATCAAGGCCCAAGTAACCGACCACCACTCACGAAAGGATTCAACTGAAGTTGGAGAAGATTTGTAAGGGATGTAAGGGTTGGAAGTTATGTAATTTATGAGTTGGGATATGTATGGGGCGATCGCATTAGGAATAGCTTTCCCATCTGGACTTTGGATTATTAAATGTGGATGAGCAATGGGACCAGGTAAGCCTTGTTGGCATCCGAATTGGCGTGCCAAAAATTGAGGCTGGTAGCTGAAGGTGTAAAAAACTTTGGGACCCTTCTTATCAATCTTCTTACTGGCGAATAAAGACCTGAGTTTAAGAGCAACATCCCAGGAGAAGAGGTAAGTCGGATGTGGCAGTGGGTCTGGTCTAGACAAAGGGGTCGGAACAAGAAATGGCCAAAACAGGCCAGGCGCATAACCAATATACCTTTTGTGTATATAGAGCTGGGTATCATTTCGATTTTCAGTAAGAATGGCAGTTATGATCTGGTCAGACGCTTGGAGGTTACTACGACCTAAACAAAGTCGGTTAAGGGCTACTCCTAGAGACTTTTCAAGTGTAGGGGCGATGAGAGGATGATCGAGTTGAAAGGCATCGGGAAAATAAAGACGGAACCATAGTTCCAGGAACCAAAAAGAACCCGACGCAACAGTCTCTAATTTTCTACCATCCTTTTCTGTAAGGCGGGCGCTAACCCTGGATAGCCCTTCAAAAAGATTGGCAAGAAAAATGGTGCCCAATGAAAAGAAACGACCTGAAGCTATGTGTATGGTAAGATCAAGGTGAGAGGGAGGACACTTTTTGATGAGGAAATTACAATATACTTACAGAGCCAAAAAAGCAGGAAGGCTGTGTGTTCTCGGTCAGTTACAGGGGTCCCATCTGCCCCTTGCTGTTCGATCAGAAATTTAGTCTAGCCCCATTCTTTCACGTCTGTCAGAGACCAGCCCAAATGGTCTGCATTGGGCTCTTGTCCATCTAGGGCACCCATTACAGGATCTTCCCCTACGATTGGTAGATGGGCGATCATGGCCACATCCATGAGGGTGGGGCCGATAGGGGCAGTTGGAAGAAGGAAGGTGCAAATCTCGGGATGCCAAAACGCCGCCATGGCTAGAAGGACTTTCTCATGCAAGTGGCATGGAAGTGTAGACAGACGTATGGTTTGATCGATTTGTTGACCTTTCCATTGATCCTGGAAGTGCTCTGATACCCTTTGGTACCAGGTGCGGTATGGATCCTTTGGGTCTGTCAAATGGGTTTTGATGTTGTCATGGAGGCGGGTTGCGTTGTAGTTGGGGTTGTTGATGGCGAGTATATTCCTGGCCTCCAAAACTTCTCTCATCCGATTGGAGTCTTCCGGGGTAGTGCAGTAGGGGCGAATGGTTGGAGTAAGCATTTTCGTCGCCACCAGAGCTGTGTCAAGGTTTGATCCGTCGAAAGGAAGAGCAGGAATGTACTGGTTTGCCATGGTTTGGAGTTGCAGAAATGGCAATTAGCAGGAGTAGTTTTGAAGAATGGGGAGAGTTGCCAGAAACTGATTGCAGTTACAGAGTCAATTCCTCAGTGGGATTGTGGTTTATGAACTTCCAAACGATGATTGGAAATGGCGTTTGAAAGTCCCTTGGCGGCGGGCATGTTGTTATGCATGAAATTTAGAGTTAGGTTAAAATCCCAAGAGAAAAAGAAAAAAATGGGCCCAAGAATCGAGATGATCGAGTTAGTTGATATGCATCGCGGGGAACTCAGGTAAAACAGACCTACTTCTAAAAAATAGTGGGTCGGGAGGTCCGCAGGTCGGAAGGTCCGTAGGTCGGGAGATCCGCAGGTCGGGAGGTCAGCGGGTCGTGAGGTCCGCGGGTCGGGAGGTCCGCAGGTCGGGAGGTCTGCGGGTCGGGAGTTCCGCGGGTCGGAAGGTCCGCAGGTCGGAAGGTCCGTAGTTCGAAAAGTCTGCGGGTCGGGAGGTCCGCGGGTTGGAAGGTCTGCAGGTCGGATGGTCTTCAAGTCGGGAGGTTTGCGGCTGGACCAAACAAGTCGGATGGTCTTCAAGTCGGGAGGTTTGCGGCTGGACCAAACAAGTCGGGTGGTTTGCAAGTCGGGAGGTTGGCAGTCGGACCAACAAGGCGGAAGATTCGTGGTTGGACCAATTGGATAGAAGAGTTGTGTTCGGGCCAAAAGGGCGGAAGGTCTGCGGTCGGCTTAAAGAGTGAATAAGAGTGATAATTTCGGTCGACTGAGGGCACGTGTCAGCAGGAGAGGGATTAGCAGACGGTTGAAGAGAAGCGTTATAACCGTTTAGGCGACGGTTTTCAGCACCGTTTTTGAAGAGTATTTAAGGATTAAAATTTGCAACTGACAAATTATCTTCAATCAACTTCAAAAAAGCAAAGTCAGATTCAGACATCACCACTTTAAATTTTCAGCATTTTATTTCCAGAAAAATTTCTTATGTACCGTTCAGTGTTTAGAGATTCCTAATCTCAGACGCTAATTAATCAAATTTGAGGATATTTTCATATTTTTGAATTTTACTTTTTGTTTATTGAAAAAATACATCAACAATATTATTTCATAAAAAATAAAAAATTTATATAATACAAATAAATAAAAATATATATAAATATTTATTTATGAACAAATGGAAAAAATATATATTTATTGAAATTTGATAAAAATAATTTTTTTAACAATCTCATATAATGTAATATCTGAAAAAATAAGTTGCAAGCAAATTGAATTTAATTGATCAACAAACACACCACAAATCTCATAATTTAACAAAGTGCACTTTTTATTTTCAAATTTCCTCAATTTTTTTTTTATTGCGCAACTTCATCACTTAAAAAAGGTTAGAGTCAAAACATCAACCCATAAAAGAACATACTTGTTGTATCCAAGACAAAACGACACGTGTTCTTTTGATGTTTTGCTTTTTTTTTTTTTTTTTAAATATTGATTTTAACATAACATTTTATAAGGTAAATATATTTGATACTTTTTTTGTCTAAAAAAAAACCACTAGTTTAACCATTTTAATTTGTTTATCCAAAATATGCTCATTAAAAATCCAATTTTTTTTATTTTTTTATTTTTTATTTTTATGTCTACTTTAATTTTAAAATATTATTATATCTGTGACTTAAAGGCTTTGAGCATATTTCATACCCGAAGAGAATAGAAAATAAAAAATAGAAAAATGCAAGATCAACAAAACAGTAATTATACATACAACAGCCACACATTATACAGCAAAATGCAAAGCCTTTTATGTAATTTTTTATTTTTTATTTTTATTTTTAATGATATAAGAACTATATGAATTCGTTCAGGGACACCTTTTAAGCAAAATTCGAGTTCTACAACAATGCCGTGAAGAAGTTCTTACATTACACTTGGTTTAAGACAGTCAAGATTTATGTGAAGTTAAAACAAGAATGACAGCAACTCAAACGACCATTTCACTACGTCAGGGATAAAACAAAAACAAAAACAAAAAAACAGCCATCAAGATCAAAGAAACTCTCCTCGGTTGTGCAGTGCAAAAGACTAGTTCTCATCTGGACACAATGTCCCGAATTCTCTTGTCCGAATTCCGTAACCAGAAACTCTGATTTGCATACATATAACACTTTCCTAGGCGTGGCGAACAAGCTCATTGGCAATGACATTTCTTGCCTCACTGCAAAGTGTGTTGGGATCTTTGCCGAGTATAGGCGGGTGAATGATAACTTTGACGGATCCTGGATTTAATATTCCTTCCATTCCGGCCGGCATTATTTTGCCTGTTCCGACAAGAGTTATTGGGACAACGGGCACTCCAGTCTTCGCAGCAACGCTGAATGCACCTTTCTACAACACACCAAGACCACATCAACTCTACACGTCAATAAAATAGATACGGATCATTGAATCAGATTCTATGACCCGAAGAATCGACAGAAGCATAAATTTAAACTTTGGAGACTCATTGCCCAAATCTTCTACTGTTTTTCTTCTAGCTACAATAAAGATAAGAAGCTAATATATTAAAGTAGAGGTATGTGTTGGAATCTTGCAAATGAGTTGATAGATGTGCGTTCTCTTGAAAGATTCTTCAAAATTTTGACTATTCATCAATTTTTCTTTTTCCTAAAAAAAATTAAATCAAACACTTCTTTTTTATTTTTTATATTATACTAAAAATCAATTTTACTTTCAAAAATTACATCAATAGTTATTTATATCATATTATACTACTATTCTAATTCAAAACTTTTACTATTTAAATCTCAAACAAAAAAATTCCATAATTAAAAATCTGTTTGTTAGTTTTTCAGCTATAAGATTCTCCAAAAATATTACCTAAAAAATACGATACATAATATACAATATATACACATAACAATAAAAGCTAACAAAAATATACAAAATATTTTCATAATACTTTCACAATATTTTTAACCTCACAACAAAAGTACTTAAAATTATAAACATTAAACAAATACAAGTAATTTATTATTATTAGTATCCTTATTTTTATTTTATTTTTATTTTGATATTTTAAAAATCAAGAGTGTGTTCTTTTGTCCTTTTATTTTTATTTTGATGTTTTTAGTATGTAAAAACAGTTGATAGATGTAATTTTTTTGGAGTTAAAATGAAGGATTGAATACTTAAAATATGGAGTAAAAATCAGTAAATCAGAATCAATCCAAACCCATATTTTGCAATACTTAATCTCCCATTTTCCATGAAAAGACATTACATTCAAAGTTTATTTTCTACTCAAAACATCATGTTCAGTAGCTGTGTTGATCTAAAAACCATCAAAACCCAAGATACCAAAACAAACAACAAAACCAAAACCAAAACACAAAATACTCTGACAGTAAAAGTAAACAAATCGTTAGAAGAATAGAATAAATAAAAAAGTTAGGATGCAGCCGCTCATAGCTGAAATTAAAACTTGAATGAATAGAACTAGAGCTGCTATTCTACCAAAAATGTGTTCACTTAGTGTTTTAATATTATGTGTAACCCCAAAACTATTATCTAAAAAAAATACAATATATACTAATCAATAAAATTCAACAAAGGACAAAAAACATCATTCCCTATAATACTTTCACAACTTCTTATATCTCATAACAAAAACTAAAAGCATTAAACAAAACACACTCTAACAATCTTGCTTATTCTAAGAATTTACAATTCTCAGACTGTAACCCTAAAGGAAATAAGCAAAAACACAATTATTTGTCTCATCACATACATAGCTAATTAGACGAGATACAATTATTATAGTTTCTCTAGCATATACCTAATTACATCTTCGGTATCAACCTGTTAAAAGAAAATCACGGGAAGATTGAAGCAATAATTGAGACAACTATTCGAGATCAGCGAAGAATGCATTTATCAGACACATCCATAGACAACGACAAAGAGAACAAAAAGAAATTGTACCTTAAAAGAGCCTAATTGCCCGTCTTTGCTTCGCGTTCCTTCTGGAAAGAAGCATACGGATGCCCCCTCCTTGATAACAGCCATACATCGCTTAAGGCAGTCCTAAGCGCAAAGACAGAAAAATGTAGAGAGTAGACACATAATTTTGAGTTCTCCAACAGTTAAAAGATCAAATTCAATGTTACTGCTGTAGTCGGGATTAATAGCATTCATCGAATTAGCATAGAACAGACAAGTACCAATTGACTTCTGGAGTCCATGCGCTTTAATGGTATTACCCCCAGCAGAAACATGGCCCAACCGATAATTGGATAAAGAAATATCGAAGTCTTGCTAATGAACTTAAAGCTTCTCCCAAGAGTTAAGAGTGTGTATATGTCCAAAAAGCTTTGGTGGTTAGACACAAACACTGCCGGGGCATCGGTTGAAGGTAGATTCTCTAATCCTTCATACTTAATCTTCATAAAGGGGGCAACAGTCAGAGAAGCCCAGGCTTTGGCAACAAAGTAATGAGCTTTTCTGCGGCACCGGTCGAACATGAGCACAAAGGGATGTTCTAGAAGCATTGGAACAAAGAGGATGATGGCAGCACAAGCTGTTATGATATAAAAGCATATTCCTCTGATCTTTGAACTTGACACGGAATCTGAGCGTAAATATTTGAGTGAGTAGTGCAAATGATTAGAAAGTGTAACAGGAAATGGGAATTGGGTAGAATAGTAACACACCTCCCAATGGATATGAAGCACCAGCAGACCCTGTGCCAGTAAGTTCAGACCAAACGATTACATCTCTTGAAACTTTTTCCTTTGAATGACGATATCGACCACTAAACAATCTACCAAGGTTTTGCTTGTGATCGAAAAGGCCATGAGCTTGAGGATGAGCACTTGAACCACATCTTGTTTCATGTGGGAGACAATCTAGACACGAAATTCAGGTGGAAAGTGAAATGCACAAGAATTAGAAAAGTAAAATAAAATAAAAATCGAAAAGGATTTACCAGATCCAGAGGAAGAAGAATAAAAAACGAAGACTATATATTCAAATTTTGTCTTTCACATATATACTTTCATGGAGAAATGAATGGATAGAAAATAGTTTAGCTATTAAAATCACAGTCATACAAGAAAGGCGAGCGAAAAGGGAAATGCACAAGAATATATATACCATAACCAGAGGAACAAGAGAAATAAGAGGAAGAATGTATACAATTTTTTGTCTTTCACACGTACATACTTTCACGAAGAAATGAATGGTGGAAAATAGTTTTATCTATTAAACTCATATTTCGTAAACGCAAAAGACGTGTTCTGAAAAGGTTTTCAATCTCGAAAATTCATCTGAAAGCTCCAATCATAATTGCATAAGCAATTGAAAGGATAGATCACTCACATCTTCCCGAATATCTTTCTATTGATTGTTCATTAAGGAAACAGCCGAAGCGAAATCCACAATAAGAACCCAACTGTTCACATCATTATTCAGCAACAGAACTGTCAAGAGCCAAATGTTGGAGAGCATAAGAACATTCAACTACACCAAAACTGTCACCTCTTCTCAGCTAGAAAGTAGAATGTGATCATTTACATAATTCTAAATGTAAGATTAACCACCACAACAATAATCTTGCCAATAACTATATTTATATATACATATACTACTCATATATAAAGCATATCCAAAAGTATACAAAAGCATTACATCAATGACATCATAGTCTTCGTCACAAAATTACACAAAACATATGTAATTGGAAGAACAAAAGGGAAGCAAAGAACAATCTGCCCTCTCTCAGGACTATCATCATCGAACAAACAGAGGAAAAATTCAAATTATATTAAAAAAAAAAAAAAAACACTTGAATTGGAAGAGAAAATTACTGGTCGACTAGAAGGTGGAACAAACTGTCCTCTTTGGCCTGCACAATACAAAAATGAAATTAAAAAACCCTCACGATATACAATCATGCAAAAATCACAATTAACAGAAAAAATCGATGAAGAGGATTAGAGAGAGGAAGTTACAAGGGTAGTGAAGTGAAGAAGAAAAAGAGGAGAAACCGGAATGAGTAAACGAAGAAGATAAGTCCATGGCTGAGGGCTTTTTCTTGAATCTCGAGATTTCTGCAAGCGGATTTTCTTGAAGAGAGTTTTTGGCCTGCACCAATTCCAAATTTGGAGAGGAATTGCAATTGGTGCTTTGTGAATGGCGATTTGCACTGCACAGCAAAGAACAGAACAGAACAGAAAAGACGGCAACACCCAAAAGGCCAAATCTCTATCAGCTTATGGAAATGATAGTAACGAATTGAACCGGGACCGCCATCATACCAAACCATTACGGTTCGATTCATGAAAACCGGCGGTTCATCCTTTTAAACCGTTGGAATAGAACCGGAAGTGGACCGCCGGTTTAGAACCGACTGGATATGTTGATGTGTTTTTGTAAATCCAATCCAATTGTGTACAATATCCATCACTACCCACAAAGCTCGCAAAACAACCTCCAAAATAGCAAACATGGCTTTAGCAGCCGCATCAATGGCGATCTCTGTATTTTCCTCCACTCCCAAATTTTGTTCTCCAACCAGTGCAGTCTTCCCTTTCACACAATTCACTCAAAAGAAAACCACTTCGCTTAAATTCAGTTCCTCTAGCTCTGTAGCCGGGATTCGCCCTCTGGTTTGCCGCGAAACCTTCAATCACGCGGGTCCTGTGTGGATAAAACCTCAGCCTCCGACGGTATTTTGTGCCAAGGGATACAAAATGAAGACGCACAAGGTAAATTGATTTTTACATGGCGTTTCTCATTTTGATTTTTGATTTTAGATATTTTGTATTTCTGAGAATTAATGAATTTTGATTGGTTAATGTTAGGCTTCTGCCAAACGGTTTCGAGTTTCGGGGAGTGGGAAGATAATGAGGAGAAGAGCAGGGAAGCAACATTTGAACGCCAAAAAGAATACCAAGAGGAAGCTGAGACTCTCCAAAATGGTTTAAATTTTGAGCCTCCTCTATTCAGAATCTTCGTTATACTTTTTCTTTGATTCTACTCTGTTGTATGTATTTTGTTTATATCTATATATCTACATATTAAATTTATCTTTGCTCAGTCCTGAATATAGAATCATAAAATGAGGAATGGAATTCAACATTCAAATGGAGCCGAAACTCTGAATTTTGAGCTCATTTCAGTTTAATTTATTTTGAAAAAAGAGTTTTGGGTGTTCTTTTTGGAGTGCTGTGAGCATTTGAAGTATTGCCTGTTGATATAAATAGTGATAACGATAAATTGCCTTCTTAAATATAAATTCAATTTTATTTTAAGTATTATTGAATGATGATGCTCTGTAATATAAGATTGGTTTTAGTGGGTTGGTACTAAGTTTTGTGATGAGGAATGAGTTTGTATTCAAATTCGAATAGAGGGTAATTATAGTTTAAAGATATAATTTTTTAATTTTGTACTGTTTGCATAAGAAGGGGATGCTTATAACTTATGGAAAATATGTTTGATGGATGAGGTAACGATTGTGTGCATTCCTTTGTAGCCAAACCTGTTTTGTTTTACCTTACTTTGCCCCTAGCGTGGCTCATTTGCATTCAGATTCTTTCAAACACTCCTATGACACCAATTGGCTTGTAGTTTGATTTTGCGTTTTGTAATTCCACATTTTGTGGGGGAAAAAAATAAAAGATAAAAAATCTGAGACTTGTTGTGGATTGACTTAGAATCAATTCTTGGTCACACATGCCTTGAGTCTGTTGAAGGTAAGTTTCGGGTTCAGCTATTTAGATATATTTGAGCACCATCCATGTAGCATTAGCAGATAGCTTTTACAGGACCTGTTATGATGTTTATTTAATTAGAGTCACTTTAATGGAGTGGTAGGAGAAAACAATACAAGGAAGAATAAGATTTAAAGTGGTTCTGGTGAGATACAATGAAAAGCATTTTCTTGGAAATGAACTTTATGCAATAAAATTGGAAATTTGGGAAGACATCTATACCGTTATCTATGTGTGACTTCCCCTCGCAGGCTTTGACCATGACTCTGGTATTACGAGCATGTAGTTATTTTTGTTAAAGTGGAATTTAGAAATACCCCTTGTGTTCTTTGTAAAGTGAATGCAATGTATGAAACGTTCCAAAGATAAGATTTATATAAATGAACTCTGAGAATGGGTGTTTTTACTTTTTAGTCATAACTCATAAGTCATAAGTTCTGAAAATTCATTGATCCATTCTTAGCTTTCTGCATATGCATCTTTTATACTGGGACTTACAACTATGTAGGTTAGTGGGATATCAAATGTAGTTTTGCCCACATATTGAAACATCATATCTGGTTAACTATCAGTAGTTTTCTAGAGTGGTTCGGTAATATAAGTTTGAAAATATCCCACATCAAGATTAGGAACATAGATTGGAGCTTCTGTACAGGTTATTGACACGCGCGTAATGTTAAACATGGAAATCTTGTAGCTCTTTCCCTTCTGCCAACTTGTCCAAATCCTTTTCTTTTAATTTTTTGTGTGCTTTATGTTTGTTTTGACCATCTCATCTGCTAGCTATTAATGTTTTGTTGGTTACTATGCTCTCTTACGTCTCAGCATTTTTTACTTGCAGGTGCAAGTTGATCGCAGTGACTATGACAATGTGATAGGGGCTTTGCCATATTTGAAAGTGAACCGTTCCAATTGAATATTTGTTAATTTTCCGTGAATGTTAATGCATAGTGAGTGCATCTTGTTGTAATTCAATTTAAGGGTACTCTCCGAGTAATAACCCTTTCTCACCTTGTATCTTCTCAATTCATATATTGCTTATTTTGTGTCATTTTATCTTTGGATAGCATACTTTCAGAAATTATTTCACTTATTCACACTATCACTTGATTTAAGTTATTGGTTGGATACCATGTAAAATTACTCATGCTATTTTCCCTTACATGTATCTGCCGACTGTGCCATGATCAGGTAGGAGGCGAGTTAACAATGCTTTCGATAACGTTGTTAATATGAAGTTAATCTTGTACTAAGGTCGTTTCCATCTGATACATTCTCACTTCCTTGATCTCTTGTTGTGAAATGGGATATGGGAAATGCTGGGTTTTTCTCTGGTAAGATCTTTATTTTACCTTTTGTCTAATAGATTTCTTGAATTTTAATCCCTTGTCATGTAGAGGTTTCCAGGAAGTGGGGATTGCCTACTAGTTTTCTGTGATGGAGAATGTCAATAGACATAAACGACTTTGTATAGCATAGTAGATAAGTCAATACGATCCTTTTGCTAGATCCAACAATTTTGAAAATATTACCCGATGTTGTTTCTTACTGTTGTCTGTTGCACTTGGTTTCTTGTTTTCGAAACTTACTATTACACTTGCTATAGTCTGAATTGGCATAATTTATTGTACTTTTTGGCCCAATTCACTTTGTCTGGTGAACTTCACGATGATAACGGGGATGATGATACAAGATAAAGTCTTAAATTCTCATTGCATTGCATTGTAATGAGTTTGTTCATCAATGATCATTTCTTATGGAGGGAAGATTGGTGAATTCACTCGAGACTTACTATTACACTTGCTGTAGTCTGAGTTGGGATAATTTATTGTACTGTTTGGCCCAATTCGCATTCTCTGGGGAACTTCACGATGATAACAGGGATGATGATACAAGATAAAATCTTAAATTCTCATTGCATTGCATTGTAATGAGTTTGTTCATCAATGATCATTTCTTATGGATCGAGACTTAAGCTTCTATCATTTTCACTGTTATCGTCATGAAGTTCAGCATACAATCGCTATTCTATGGTATCTTGAATTTAAAAACAATTGCTAACTGACTAGACTTTTTATTTTTCCTTTTGTTATTTGAACGTTGTTAATTGTCATTGTAATGAGTTCATTGGTACACATAAGCAGATTTACTCACCAAAATTTGTCATCTCAGAGGTGTTTACAAATTGCTGACCAATTTAGACGTGTCAACCAAATTCACTGGTAACTGCTTTTAGATTACTCAAGAACACTTTTTTAGCTATAATAATTAATATTATATATATATATATGTATATTTTGGCAAGATATAGGAGAATTTCATTTCTGTAACAACCTTGTGGCTATTTGCATTCGAAATACACTGTCTTTGTTTAATTGTTCGAGTGAGCCCTTGAGCTCATTGAATGCTTTATAGATCCATCAGTTTAGGCAAATAATATTTGCTTTGTTTGCTTATTTGTACTCTTTCCTCCACTCTATAAAGGGAGATGTATTTCATTACATATATGGGTTGTGAATAGAATAGTTAAATTTCTCCGTGACATGATTGATAGGTTACAAGGAACATAACAATTAGTTGATCAATGATCACTGGTTCTTGGATATGTAAATGCTAGTGTTCTATGTGCATTCAAACTACAACAACACCCATGCAACATGGTTTCTCCTGTTAATATAATTTTATTTTATTTTATTTTTGTTTTTTACCTTTTTTAGGGACAGTGTTTCACTTAACTGTAATGCATTCATAGTATTTTGGAAAAATAAAAGTCACATGTATCATGTGCTTGCTATGATCTATTTCATCGAAGGCATCAATTCCTGGGTTCTACTGAATTACTTTATTATTTGTTTATTTATTTATTATTTTTTTTGTAGGGTTGTCACGATACATATATGGAATATAAACTTAGTCACAGGTGAGAGCAGATGCAGCAAACTTTCTTTAGTTGATTTGTCTGGAAGTGATGGTACAAAAACAGAGACACTGGTGACAATGCAACAGAGTTGTGGAAGTCTCAAGATTCCTGTCAGCGTAAGTGAATGCTATGTCGTTCTCTTCTAAAGGCCATGAAAGTTACTAATCTTCAATTTGGACGTTGTATACTTGCTGCTTTTATAGACGACTGATCTTATTATGGGTGTGGTTGCCTTTGTTCAACAACAATCTATATTGTTTCTATTTGCAAGAAGCTGCCTACAGTGTTCTTATTGGCTTGTCTCACACAGCTGCAGTTTAAGTTTTACAGCCTAATCTAGGATGTTTTTTAGTTCATCTGTTGTTTGATTTTGTGTGTTCTATTTCTGTATTTGTTTCCTTTCTCATGAAAGGTTGAAAAAATGTTAGGCACCTCAACGTACAACTAGTGGAGAAGTTAGTTTGGTGTACTCAATTTATCCTTCTGTTTTCTTGTTTTTCACTTGATCTCACTCATAAATTTTTATGTTTCATGATGCAGTTTGGGTGATGTTTTGGCATCCTTGTTATCTAAGAAGGATAGAATTCCCTATGAAAACTCCCTGTTAGCCAAAGTTCTTGCAGATTCACTAGGTATCTATGTAGTTACTTTAGATTTCCTTATTATTAATATTCTAAGTTTTAGCTACCCGTTATGATTGAGAATCAGTGGCTCATTATTGATTCATGTCTATGTTAGTTGCACAAATATTCTTGCCTAGATGCCACTAATCCTACTTGTCTAGGATAATTTTGGTCCCCTTTTTCAAATAAGATTTATTTTTTATTTTTTTTAAAAGGAGGGGTGGGGTGGTATTATAAGTGAAATAGAAGCTATAATATGATTTAGCTTCTGTACCTATTTTCAACTGCCAAATCACGTAATTTTTTCATGTTTTCCCTTTATATTGTCTAGTGTTTAACATTGACAATCCAAATTCCAACATGCATGAGCCAAACCAGCAAGTCAGCTGTTGTTTGCCCTCTTATGCGTAAAGTTTGTTATGTTGGTCTTGTATTGTGTTGAGGATCATTCGAGGATTACACTGAAATAGGGGAGGAATGTTGGACATTTCAATAAAATTGAAATCAATCCTTCGGCCAATGGTTGAGGTTGAGGAGTATGTGCTCAAGCACCATATCAACCTCAACATATGTTGAAAGAAGGTAAGAAAACTGAAGATCAATAAGGTGGGAGCGAACAGAGTCGTTGAAACAGTGAGGCTGCTACCGCTCGACGAGAGGCGGAGACAATGGCACGGGAATGGTTAGGGCTGCCCTGGGCCCGGGCAGGAGGAGCGTCAGCCCAGGGCCCAATACAAATAGGGGTTCATTACATATTTATGTTATATATAAAATTTATTTGATATACGTAAAGTATTATAGAATGAGTTAGTGGTGTGGGGTAGAGTTGTGCTTTACTTTTATTTTGCTCTGGACCTTCAAAAGTCAGGACCAGCTCTGGGAAGGGTTCTGTCGCCTTCCTCTGGTAATATTCATCTAATCTCATGTCTAGTCATACATAAAATGACATGGCATTTCCAAGTTGGCAATTATTGAATTCAAACTCTTGAATTTGAATGAATGGTTGCTTGGTGATAGGAAATGGAAAGACAACTCTTGAAGATGTGCCTCTTGGATTATAACTTTCCATGTCTTTATATAGGCTTGTAAGGCTTCATTTTCATATGTACATGATCACATTTTGGCTACACATGAAATTTACTTAGCGCCCTAAGTTCTTTTTGTTTTCCTAGTGTTCTATTCAACCAAAACATTAGAGGCATACTCGTTTTTATCCCAATACAAATTTTGTGCAATTTTAGTTTGTTGTGTGGGTAGAAATATTGTATTGATAAGTGAGTCGTCCACGACTCCAATATAATCCAAGGCATCGTGCATGAACGTTTGTTCTTCCAAATCCACCAAACAATTTGGGTGATGTTATTCAATTTAGTGTTTGTTCACAAAACTTATTTTTGGTAACAACAATTCCCCGTGAATATTACAAACACAATATATAATACTTTCTCTATCCCACCTACTGTCCATATTGCCGTTTCTGATCGTCTCACATTTTATGTCATTTTTTTTTAAATGATTACATACTTTAATTTTATTTTAATTTTTTTTAATTTTTAATTTTTAATTTTTAATTTTTAATTTAACTAATTAGTTATCAATCTTAATTTATAATTATTTATAATATAAGATAATTATCAACTAATTATATTTATCATAAATTCTCGTATCTACATTAACCCAGATTAGCTAAGTAAGACGGAGGGAATATATATTCTATTCATCTACAAAAAAAAAGTAATAATACAACACCAAATAGTATTTTTTATATTATCGACATGATTTTTCGTAATTAATATAAAAAAATATATATTCATCTAAAAATACAAAATAAATACACCATAATCTGTTATAATTTTTTATATAAATAATAATTTTGTATAATTTTATTTCACTTGAATAAATAAATATGTATTCAAAATAAGAGAATATGTCCCTTAATGAATGGCTAGGTGGTGTGGTGTGAACACGTGACCATGAGGTCATATTCTTAAACCGTTGATGCTATGAATACATTATATGCATATTTAACGAATAGTTAAAATGTAAAAACTTAGAATTTATAAAATATATAATAAAATATCTTAAAATATGTAATGTTATTATCAATATAATTTCACATATCTAATATAAAAAAAATCGATGAAAGTGACAAGTTTCTCCAGGTTATTAAAACTTGCCATTGATTGTTTTATGGAATGTTAGGCCACGTCATCAGAACACGTCAATAGATGTGACGAGTTTTGATGATATAGCATACTAGCAGTGATCTTAACACGTCGCCTGTCACGTCAAGTGAACTCACTACATAGTGGATGACTATTGCAATTTGTACGTCATCCAAACTTGCCGCATAATTTGGTGAGTTGCATTAAAAGTATATATTTTATATATATATTTTTTATTTAACATTATTAAAATAATTGAATCACATTCTTTTGTATTTCTTTTACTCTCTTCATCCCAGTTCAAAATACTCATTTTATCATTTTCATTTGTCCCAACTCAAAATACCT